ACCCGGCCTTGGGTCCTCGGCTCCCCCTAGCGGTGCCGCGCCGCATCGCACGCCCCTCCGCTGCGGCCGCGGCCTGTCTGCGGCACCTGTCGGAGCTCCTGGCTGCACCCGCTGAAGAAAGGCGGTCTGCTCCCACGTGCCCAAGTCCTTCCCCCAACGTGCTCCCAAGCGTTTTGCTTTCCAGCTGGTTGCTCCGTTTGTCTTTGTTTCTTTTTCCCTTGCGCCTCCTGAGCACTGATCCAGATGCTGCCCGAGCTCTGTAATTCCATTTCTCCTGGACGGCGGTCACTGATAGCCCCTGGCGATTTGTTCTCTGGGAAAACCCGAACCTGGGAGCCCTCAGCCGTGGCCCTGCACACCGTTCTCAGGCTCTAGGCTCTGATTCCTCCTCAAGAACTGTACCTGCCGTGTCTGGCTCTATAAACGACAACAGGCTTTTGTTTCTTGAGCAAGAAAAGAGAATTTCCTGCGGCTGGATACCCTGGCTTTTGGCAATAGTTCTGGATCTCTTATTCTCTGGTACCTAAAATACTGACCTCCAGCCCCCAAAAGGATCTTACAGTGTCACACGCTAGGCAGATGCACAAATGACTACCTGCATAAGCCAAGGCAAAGACGCATGGGGCTGCTTCCCTGCGAGAGGTTTACTTGGCCTTCCAGCAGTGCCAGTATAGATACCACCATCTGGGTGGTCTCATGCCTCTGGAACAGAGAACAGCTGGCCCAAAACATCAGCAGAGTCAAGCATTCTCCTGTGCATTCCTCATAATTCAGGACAAGCCAGGGCTCTACAAAAAGATCCTGATTTCTCGATAAAGTGCTAAAAGTGCGGACTGCGTGGCAGGCTGCCTCCCCCGCGGGTCAGGGCGCATGTGTCTTGGGCCCTGTGTGCCGGTGCCACACTGAGTGCCGTGCATGCATTGCCTTTGTTGATCTTTACAGACTCCTAGGGAGTAGGAACTAGGATGATTCCCATCTCTCAAAGGAGGGGATCGACATTTGACCCACGTTCTCAGTGCTGCATGACTGAACCCTGGCAGCCTGACTGTGAGCCCCAGCGCCTGCCCCATGTGACGCCCCTCTAAGTGCCCTGTGGCCACTGAGCACCACCATTTTTTAAAAAACGCTGCTGGATGCTATTCGCAGTTTTCTTGTCTTTGTCTTTGTACCGTCTTTATCGGATATTAGTATTTAGATTACCCTGATTTTATCAAATAACCTGGGGAGAGACTTCAATTATTTTTCTATTCTGAAACCGTGTAAGTGGGGGTAGAAATGACTTCTTGTCAGAAAATAATTGAATCAAGGTCAATAGAGATAAGAGAATACAGACTAAGCTCTTCAATTGTTTCCACCATTGGAAAGTTTCTGTCTCCCAAAGAGCATCTTAATGACAATGCATGACACACACAATGTAACATGGGATTCTGTGAGCCACCAAATTCCACATGAAAGACTCCTTTGTCGGTGAAATACCAGCATAAACTTGCAGCAAACTGGGTGTTTATTTTATTTCTTGGGCAATGACAGCAAAGATGATTTTCAACTCAAATGCACAGAGAAAACACATGGAGTCATACCTGTGATGGCTTCCAAGGTGAAACTAGACACGGGATGCCATGAGTTGGGTTCTCTGGGAGTAGTCTTAGAGGAGTTCACTGTGAAGGATGCTCTGGGGGGTAGGACCGGCAGAGGGTGGGGGCCGAGGGAAAAGCGAGAAAGAAGCTGCCAGGCAGGCCCCAAATCCTCAGCCCCTCTACCCTGACTGGCTCAGTCACCAGGTGCAAGCTGCCTCTGGAAGGTGTGAGGTCTGGCAGGACACCCGAAGATCACTCCAGAGGGGGCAGACAGTTGGAGGAGGCAGCTGACTACCCCCACAACTGGGCAGCAAGTCTTTCCTTGAAGGGGTTTGGGTGGCACACCTCTGTGTCTGTCACTCCCACAGCATCAGCCGATTCTGATTGCATGTCACCTCTGTGCTGAAGCCCGTGCTAAAAGCCACTGAGGGTCCAGTCAAGGGAACTGAGATTCCTGTTGCAGAAACAAAGCTTACCTGGGTGAGACACTGAGAGGGCAAGATACAATTCCAAAAAGTTAGATGGCAGTTATTTTAATACTCCAAGGATTATAAAACACTTTCGTATATCAAATTCTTTGATCCTCACAGCAATACTGGCAGGAACTAACATGACCATGTCCAAAGATGCAGACTCTGAGGGTCAGCAACGCTGAGTGGAGTTTCTGACACTACTTGGCTGGTGATGGTGACACCAGCTGTAAAACCCGATCTTGTCCTGAAGCCCTGCTTTATGCAGACACTCCTGCTCACGTCCTACATGAACATTAAGAATGGAGTCCAGGCCGGGCTTGGTGGCTCAGCCTGTCATCCCAGCACTTTGGGAGGCCAAGGCGAGTGGATTACCTGAGCCCGTGGGTTCAAGACCCACCAGGGCAACTTGGCAAGATCTCATCTCTACAATAAATCAAAAAATTAGCCAGGTGTAGTAGCGCACACCTGTAGTTCCAGCAACTTGGAAGGCTGAGGCAGAAGGATTGCTAGAGGCCAGCAGGTCGAGGCTGTGGTGGCTGAGAATGTACCACTGCACTTCAGTACGGGTGACAGAATGAGACTCCAACTCAAAAAAAAAAAAGAATGGAGTCCTAAATGGGCACCATATTTGCTATATTCCTTCCAGAAAGAGAAAAGGGAATGAATTCTTGAACACCCACAGTGCCTGATACTATAGTCTGCATGTCTCTATGTCCAGTGAGCTATCCCAGCAATCCTATATGCTTCCCACCATCTTGCAGATGAGGGAACTGGAGCTCAGAGAAGTCATGTGACTTTTCAGCTGGTGACAAAAGCAGGATCCGGATCCGAATCTAGACGTCTAGGCATTGTCTGAGCTTAATCCAGAATCTAGGGCACTAAATCTTACGTCTGAGTCCCACCGCCATACTGGAGGAAACGCAAATGCTCGGGATTCTCCAAGCAGGTGGGAGAGAGACAGAGAGAGGACAAGAAGCACAGGGGTGAAAATTGAATAGGCAAAGTGGCAAGTGAGGAAGACACCCGGCTAAAGCATGAGGGGGAAGCTGAGGGCTGACGGTTGAGATGAAAGTCACCAGGTTGGGGGAAGGGGGCCAGGACGCTAAGGCGGAAGGGGCAGGTTTCTGTGGGGAAGGGAGAGGACGCCAGGTGAGAGAGAAGGGAGGCCAGTTTCAATTTCCATAAGAGTGTCTCCTGCATTTTCTAAGGTTCTTATGGTTTGAGGTTTGACATTTAGGTCTCATCCATTTGGAGTTAATTTTTGTGCACGGGAATAGGTAGGGGTCCTGTTTCAATCTTCTGCATGTGGTCAGCCAGTTTTCCCAGCACCATTTACTGAATAGCTTCTCGTCTCCCCAGTGGTTGGTGGTGGAGACTTTGTCGAAGATGAATTGGTTGAGAAATTGCTTTGGAATCTCAATTCTATTCCATTGGTCTATATGCCTGTTCTTGTATCAACACCAGGCTGTTTTGAAGATTGTAGCTTTA